ACATTCATGCTCAGCAGTCAACATTCATTAAGGAACACAACAGAAACATCAAACATTCAAACAAAAATTTTTCACAATTTGCATGTTCCTATAGGCATGCATCAAACAAGGGATTAGGGGTCAACCTGACTACCTAACATATATTCTCACACTCCAGGTAAGGTCTCTCACTCCCCCTTACCTTGATGACCAGAAGTCAAAGTACGAAGGAATCTGGTTGTTCCTCTTCTCTAGGTTCTCCTTATTACATAAAAATGACTCAAACTCCTGGTAACTTCCCTTAACCCCTTTTCTCAATTAATAAATTAAATAATAAAATTACAATTTAGCAAATATTGTCCAAAGTGTCATCCCTTCCCTCTCATAAACAATTAAAAATAATCAAATACACTTCCTCCTTTTTAATTAAAAGAACATATATTTAACTTTAATAAAATACATTTCATAAAAATCTGTCTTATATCAAATAATCAAATATTAATTAAAAATCAAGCTTTATATTAAAATAGAACTCACATAAAATAGATAAATAATATAAAATATATTTCTGCCTTTTAGTAAAAATATCATATGTTTTATATAAAAATAAAGCTCATATCAAATAGCTAAATAATATTAAAAATCCTTCTAAAAATATATTAAAATATTAAAATAAATACTAACATATAATAATATAATTTATAAAAATTGGGGTGTTACAAATAACTTTTAAATACTTTCTTTTTTATATATGAATCAAGAAGTTTAGTCAAAGTTACTTTCATGGTCAAAGTTCTTTAATAATATTATTAGTTTAAATTTAGGTCCCAGGTTTGAGTTTTATACTTTTAAAGATAATTAATTCTTAATATTATTTTTTTCATTTACAAATTTAAAGTTAAAATTATTTAAAAAATATGTATACCAAATAATGTTATCACCTTTGTATATGTTACAGATTACATATTTATTTTGTTATGCAAAAAATTTGATATTTATTATGCGGCAAGTCAAATTAAATCGGTTATAATTTGATATTTATTAGTATTTTAGCAAGTTTTCCCAATACACCCCCCTCATGCTTATGAGGCATGCATCAATGGTGGGTGACCTATTTTTAAAGTGGATCTAAATGACTCTGATACCATGTTAGAATAGTGGATTAAGCCTAACTCAACCCTACAAAACCGGCTTGTAAGGTGAGGGTTGCTTTCCACTTATATACTATTCAATTGCCTAATCTCTAGTCGATGTGGGACTTGGGTTTTTCCCAATACACCCCCTCACGTCCAGCACTATTGGGCTTGGTACGTGGATAAATGGTGGGTGGCCCTTTTTAATGATCTAGGATTGGCGGGACTTGGGTTTTTCCCAATACACCCCCTCACACCTATGAGGCATGCATCAATGGTGGGTGGCCCATTTTTAAAGTGGATCTAAATGGCTCTGATACCATGTTAGAATAGTGGATTAAGCCTAACTCAACCCTACAAAACCGGCTTGTAAGGTGAGGGTTGCTTTCCACTTATATACTATTCAATTGCCTAATCTCTAGTCGATGTGGGACTTGGGTTTTTCCCAATACACCCCCTCACGTCCAGCACTATTGGGCTTGGTACGTGGATAAATGGTGGGTGGCCCTTTTTAATGATCTAGGATTGGCGGGACTTGGGTTTTTCCCAATACACCCCCTCATGCCTGTGAGGCATGCATCAATGGTGGGTGGCCCATTTTTAAAGTGGATCTAAATGGCTCTGATACCATGTTAGAATAGTGGATTAAGCCTAACTCAACCCTACAAAACCGGCTTGTAAGGTGAGGGTTGCTTTCCACTTATATATTATTCAATTGCCTAATCTCTAGTCGATGTGGGACTTGGGTTTTTCCCAATACACCCCCTCACGTCCAGCACTATTGGGCTTGGTACGTGGATAAATGGTGGGTGGCCCTTTTTAATGATCTAGGATTGGCGGGACTTGGGTTTTTCCCAATACACCCCCTCATGCCTATGAGGCATGCATCAATGGTGGGTGACCCATTTTTAAAGTGGATCTAAATGGCTCTGATACCATGTTAGAATAGTGGATTTAAGTCTAACTCAACCCTACAAAACCGGCTTGTAAGGTGAGGGTTGCTTTCCACTTATATACTATTCAATTGCCTAATCTCTAGTCGATGTGGGACTTGAGTTTTTCCCAATACACCCCCTCACGTCCAACACTATTGAGCTTGGTACGTGGATAAATGGTGGATGGCCTTTTTTAATGATCTAGGATTGGCGGGACTTGGGTTTTTCCCAATACACCCCCCTCATGCTTATGAGGCATGCATCAATGGTGGGTGACCTATTTTTAAAGTGGATCTAAATGACTCTGATACCATGTTAGAATAGTGGATTAAGCCTAACTCAACCCTACAAAACCGGCTTGTAAGGTGAGGGTTGCTTTCTACTTATATACTATTCAATTGCCTAATCTCTAGTCGATGTGGGACTTGAGTTTTTCCCGATAAGTAATCCTTTACAATGCTTTGTCATGTAACAATGCTTGACATTACTGCTACACAATTAATTGTAAAGACAAAACAATGAAGAACAATTTCAGGTTCATGATCATTGTTGACATGCTGACAAGTATGGAATTGGATCTCATCAGAAAATCGATATGAACCTCACCTTTTACGGACGCATTAAAACCTAAGCATATGTTTACAAAATTTAACTGGTCTAAGTCAATATTCTTCCTGATCAATTATTTATCAGTTATCACAATTCACAACCAGCAGATAAAAGTTCAACATACAGAAGTGAAAAAGTTTGAGTTGAATTTATAATGCATTGTCTGAAATATTTACAACTCATTCACAAAACTAATGGAACTTCAAGGCATATGCCAACTAAAACTATGCTCACACTGCTCCAGGTGCTGCAGTGTCTACGGTGACCTGTTCCTCATTTCATTTGAGCACTCTAGTCCTAGTACTTTTCTTTTGTTCCATTTATACATATCAAACTAATAAGTGCAAATCAAATCAGTTAATGTGATACAGCATGCCAAAAGATAATTCACATTTGACATTAATGGTGCCCCTTATCTGTTTTGACTCCATTGAATTTGAACCCCAAGTAATCATTATCATACATTGACTGCATTGATTAAGTAAGAAGAAATGTAAATGGCTACATGCCCAGTTCAATAGACAACACCATAAAACTATAAATTGTTGCTGTTGCACAAATTGTGTCTATGAAATCTCCTCCATGTCCACAAACACACTATTTAGCCACCCGCGATTTTGTGATTCCTAACTAGTGAGATCATAGTCTAATTTTCTCTTCCAACAAGGTTTAACAAATTGAATATCCTCTGTTACTTTTCTGATTAAATACATGAATTCCAATTGCTTTAGGAACTGTGGTTGGTCTTTGCTTAAGAACACGTATATTCTGCACTAAAGAAAATCAAGGCCTTGAACTTGTTAGAAAATGAAATCGACAGATCAACTTATCCTAGACAAATCTTAATTAACGATAAACCACCATAATTGATTTTTTGCATTCATTTTTGGCACGATAATTGATTTGCGCCATAATTGATTTAGCTGCTATATTTGTTTCTGATTTATTATTTTTGGCCGTTATTTTTTCCTTTTCAATTCTATTTTTAATAAATAAAAAGTTTAAATTAAAACAACACATCAATTTTTCCTTTTTTAAATTTAAAACTAAGATATATATATATATTTTATTATTATTTTTTTTTTTTACATTGAATATTTTTAACTCCGTCCTATTTCCTTACGACCATATTTTTCTCTGTATTTAGACACCCTCAACATACATATATATCTGATTTTTCTTTCTCTCTCATCTTCTTCTCTTTCTTGAACCCGTTCACCATCGCCGATCTCAATTCTATCAGTTAGAAACGCCGTCAAGATAAATTATAAATAATTAAAAATAATTTGTTAAAATAAAGTTATATATTATAAACATAAAATAAAATATTTATTTATTATAAGTCATAGCTATGTAAAAGATGTTCTGCCAAATCGGCTCAGTTTTTTTTCTTAGGCGTGCTGAGTTAATAAAATACAAATGGACTCTTCCTTGATAATAATGAAAAGTGAAAACAAAATCTTATATTTGAATTGAAAATGAGTAGAATTTTGGTTATGCATGGTTTTGGACAATGAATTATAAATTGTAACAATGGGGGAGGGAGATTTTATTGAATGAATTAAGCAGAAGGCAAAAAGAGAAATTGAAAGGGAGTATCATTGGTTATGACAAGACGATATCTTTGTGAATATTAGAACAAGTGTCAGCATGGGTGGGGCAGAAGAGAAGCTGATATCCAAGTTGATTTTTGTGAATTTTGTAGTTTCCAGTTATGAGGTTCTTCCCTGGTACCAATAGCCATCGATTTGAAGGGGAAATATATATTGATGAAGAAGCAGGACCCAGTTGGAGGATGTAGCACAGTGAGGGATGTCTTGAAGAAAAGTTTTTGGTAAGCTTACTTTAATTAAAAGTAGAGTTGTCAAATGAGTTAGACATGAAAAAATGGAATAATTAACTAGGCCTGGTCCTAGTTTTGTGTAGGTTATATTTTTCTTTTTCTAGATTTATTGGTCTGTTAGCACATCGAAATTATGCCAGATTGAATCAAATTATTTTTATTAATAATTTTATATGTAATTTAAAAAATATATATATATATATAACCATCAGACAAAGTAGTCACAATACCTTTGCCACATAATTTTACTGCTCTAAGCTAACTTGTTTGATTCCTTGAACAAGGTCAAATTGGCCAGATTTTTTTTCTTAAGCGCGCATAGTGAATAAAATACAATTGGAGTCTTCCTAATTAATAATAAAAGAACAATTTTATTTTTGAATTGAAAAATGAGAACAATTTGTAGGCATGCATGGTTTGAAGATTGAAAACTAATATATAAATTGAAACAGTGGGTGGAGGGAGATTTTATTGAGTGGATCTGCATGTGGCATGAATTAATTAAGCAGTGAAAGGCAAAAAGACAACAGGGAAGGGAAAGTCAGTGTTTGTTACGAGACGATATCTATTCTCATCTTTATACTTGCCAATATTAGAACAATTAGCAGAAGCATTAGTGGGACAGAACACAAGCCTATATCCCACATTATATTTGTGAATTTTGAAGGCTCCATTTATGAGTTTCTTCCCTGGATGGTCTCTGGCAGTGCCAATACCGATCCATTTCATGGGGAAATCATCAGCAACCACGACCCAGTTGGAAGATGTAGCACAACCAGGCTTGGCTTGAAATGCAAATTCTAAAGGCGAGTCTGCGGAGATGAAACCATTGTTCTTTCCTAGCATTGTGAACTTTACTGGCTTGCCATGTTCAGCCTCAGAAAAATCTTGTATGATAGTAACTGGGCATTTAGTGTTTTGAGATGTTATATTGGGACTTACTCCACCACCTGTTGGCCCAAAGAGTGCTGGCAAAATGTAGTATGCACGAGAAGCCAAAACTGGCTTTCCAAATCTGTCTAGAACTTGTTCTGAGAATGCTAATGGAATGGCAAAGAGGAGGAATGAGAGGGTCACAAACTGTGATGGCTTCGTGGCTTATGTTTATGTCCTTTCTTTTCCTCACCCAATTAATCTCTTTTATACTGTTTTTCCTTAGGGTTAGTCTTGCCATGTATGAGAAATAATTAATGTTTTGGTCAAAGTCTTCATGCAATTTTAAACATTTTTTTAGATGTTTGAATCAGTGCAGATTGAATTGAAAAGTCAAATATTCAATTAATATAATATTTTATAGTATTATCAAAGTTAATCATATGTAACATTATATAAAGAAAAACTAACCATTGAGGTTTAGCGGTACGGTACAATATGTATAAGGTCCTGAATGATTTAATTCTGTTGAGATTCTATAAATAATAAATAAATAAATATAAAGAAAAAAATTACTTTGTTTTTAACATTATAAATTTAATATTATAATAAATAAATACTACAAGTAATAATATATGAGAAAAATTCTGCTTATATACATATATTTATAAAATATTTTATTAACAACAAACATGTTTTTATTAATTTTAGTGTCTCTGTGCATTTTACTTTAATAATATAATTTGAATGTTAATAGATTGATATGAAAAAATAACACATTTAATAAATATATATTATAATTATTAAATTAAATAAATATAATATTTTATAATGTTTATCAATCTTAATTAAATATAATTTTTACTAAATAAATGATATAATATTATATAACAAATTTACTTTAATTAAAAATGAGACTTAATTATTAGCCTTATGTTTGGTGATATTTGAACTTTGATAAAATGATATCAGAATTTTAGTTAACATTTCATGTTTTGTCAATTTTCATCATGTTTAAGACTTATATTAATGATTTGATTTTTGGCTAAAAAAACTATTTTGGTCCCTTATAATCTTTTTTTTGTTTCAATTTAGTCTCTCATTAATTTTTGGTCTCAATTTGGTCCCAAACTAATTAATTGGTTTCAATTTAGTCCCAAATTAGTTAATTGGTTTCAATGTGAGACTTTCCGTCCAAATTGTTTTAACGGTGTTAACTTTTGACCACGTGGACGCCATGTAGATACATACGTGGCATATACGTGGATGCCACGTGGATGAGAATTTTTTTGAAAACACCTGGACCTAAAACGGCCCGTTCTGAAACCGGAACGGGCCGTTCTGGGTGAACTTTTGGTGTGTTAATCTTGCATCCGGAATGGCCCGTTCCAGGTGCAAAATTAACACACCCAAAATGCAACCAGAACGGCCCGTTCCGGTTTCAGAACGGGCCGTTCC